CTCTGTTTACATTATATGAACATAAAACAAACAGTAAAAATGCTTCATTTACTCCTCAGCCCTCTTCTCCTTGCATGTGTTTATTACTTTAAGCAGGTTAGCTTAAAGTGAAGTCACAGACTGAAGTGAGTGGCAACGTGTTAGCTGTGATTTACACCTATTTTTAGCAGGGCTGTTATTCTGGTGATGCCCAAAAAGGGGGCACATAAGTGTGTGTCTGGGAGTGTGTTTTCCTCTGTCTGTGTGTCTGGATTTCTTTATCCACATGAGGAGCTTCCTTACCTTCTATAGATGGAGCTTGGTCCTGGGCAGCATATAGCATATCCTTGAATGCCTGATGAGGAAGAAGAGAAAACAAATATGAGTGTCTGCAAACAACAAAAACAAAAAGCGGCTTTGAGCAAAAGACATTCACGATTTCACAGAGAGGGCTGCACATGTGCAAAGTGACTGTGGTTTGATTTAGACGGGATGATAAACAGCTAATTGCTTGAATTACCTCATTATCTAAAATCCCGTCAGTTGTAAAGGTTTACAGTAGATAAATGGGGTGATTAGAATAAACCATAAGGTGCCACAGAATTGTTAGAAACATCTGCATGCAGAGGAGAAGGACCTCAAGAGCTATTAACTAAATTACAGTAAAGACCAGGCAGCTGTTCACATTATAGACAAAGTCTGCACAGCATAAGCTTCATTTTAAAACGCCCCGCTTGTTACTACATTGTTGTGTTTGTTACACTGAGCACTGTGGAATCATGTGATTATACATGAAAACATAAACACATACAAACCCCGAACCAAAGGGATATGAGCATGCCCAACCCTGCACACTACCTCTCACACAGTCCAGCCCCGCTGCAGGAAAAGTTTTCTTGAAAGACGAACAAAAGAATGACTCAGTGGACAGAGCACAGGTAGCACCTTTTATCCAAGGGTTCAGAAGAAACCCACGCACTGTCACAGCGGTCTGTGCATCCTGTGACCACCATGCTCTCTTCTGAATATGCAAAACCTGCACAAAAACATTCAAATCATTCGTAGCCTTTCACATTTACCCTTTCTGAAGCCCTCACTCAACAAGACTTACTGATGCTTATTGTCACTAGCACATATATTGATCTCCCTTTAGCCCATCAAAGAGACTCATGACAGAACAAAAGCAGTGCTCTTAGGTGAGCCTGACTAGATCTAGTCAGTATATCTGAGCCTCACCAACTAACTTGGGCTCATTCCCAACCAGAGAGGTGACATTCCACATCCCTGTGGCCAAACTTGTCAACTGGGAATTGGACCTCTGCTCCCGACTGCCACCTGATCCACACAGCAGTAAAAGCTATGGCCCCTTCTGCAGGTATTGAGCCCACCGGAGGGCAGAAGCTGGGCCCAAGACCCAATTTGGAGCAAATTAGCCCCGACTATACAGATACTGGGATCATCAAGCAAACCCCATACACAACAAAGAGGCAAATCACAGAGAGACAGTGGTATAAAACATGATTGCCCTGTGACTATATTATAATGTGAATATTTATGAAATAAATAATTAAAGGAACAGCAGACTGACAAACTGGCAGATACAAAGCAGAGATAGCAGCTGTGGTTAAACGGGGTCGCTCCTTTTCAGCGAGACTGACCTTGAAGATAATGGAAGCAGACGACTGCTGGCTCGTTTGAACATTTCCTCATAACTTTTTTCACAATAAGGAAATCTTTGTAACCAAACTGCTCCAAAAAAACAGGAAAAAGGAAATTATGATTTTGGACTTTTCTTTTTAAAAAAAGTTAATTAATTGTGAAGTAAAATCTAAGCTTTGCACCAAATTTCATGTTTCAGGTAAAACATAGGTGCCAATATATGTGCTGTCATTATCATCTCTGTCTGGGGTCAACATGGGAGAGACAGAGAGGACTGAGTGTGTGTGTGTGTGTGTGTGTGTGTGTGTGTGTGTGTGTGTGTGTGTGTGTGGAAACC